TTTTTTTTTTTTTTTTTTTTTCTGGCTCAGCATGCCTGAAGGGCAGGTCTGGTAAGACATGAGGATCTGGGGATTGAACCACAGCATCTTGATCCTGAGTGCTTTGGTTAACAGACCCTTAAACAACTGAGCTCATGGGCAGGCTCCCCGATCAAAGATGTTTAAAGCATGGTCTTTACTCTTGAAGAACTCACAGTCCAGCAGCTAAAGGAGATTTATCCAAGTGAAAAATTAAATGCCAATGCAAGTTAAGTAAGCAGCACAGGGAAGCAGGCCATAGCTTCCTCCACCATCGAGGACAATGTGGGTGGGGTAAGGCTGAGGCTGAGAGGATTCCAGAGCCAGAGAAGAAGGGTGGGAATTTCCTGAAAAGCTGTGGATGGAAAGGCCTTGGAGGAAGCACAAGGGTCTGGCTACTAGGTCCTTCCCATTCTGGACAGGAAGATGTACCCCAAGATATCCCTTGGAGGAAGAATGTCAATGGAAGCTGGGTGTAGTGGTGCAACCCTGTCATCCCAGCATCTGAGAGGCTCTGGCAGGAGGATCACTGCAAATGCAAGACAAGCGTGGGCTACAAAGTGAGCTCAAGGTCAACCAGAATTGCATAGTGAGACCCTGTCTCAAAAAGACCAAAAAAAAAAAAAAAAAAGAATGTCAGCAGTACAGATGCAAAAGGCCCAAGCTTGGGCCTTCCAGCAAGGGAATCCAGTTTCCCTTGCTAAACAAGGGTCACAACCCACCCCCTCCCCAAGTCCTCTATTCTCCAGAATCTTGGGGGGAGCCTGAAGTTAGAGACATGACCCCATAGTGACCTGTCCAGGCCAGCTTCACATGTGGCCTCTCAGGGCACCTTGCTTCCTGCCTGGGGCAGGTCTCTCATGATCCACCCCTTTTCTCCACCTGCAGCTTCAAGAAGAACTTTGGCATTGGAGATCATAGGAAGGAGAGAAATCAAGTGGCCCTTCAGGTCATCCAGACACAGCACAAGATGCTGGGTCCCATGAGCTTTGCCGAAAAGGCTGTCACTTTCCTCTTCGTCACACTGGTGGCGCTATGGTTCACGAGAGAGCCAGGCTTCTTCAGTGGCTGGGGTAATCTGGCTTTTGCCAACAGCAAGGGGGAAAGGTGAGAGTTGCTGTGGGGAAGAGGGGAACACACCTGGGGCTCCTTCCTTCAGGAAGCATAAAATGACCAGGGCCTCCACCGAAGAACAGGGGGTGATTCTGGGGGTAAGGGGATCTCACCAGGCTTGTCTAGGCGAGACAGGAGTATCTGAGTATCCCTGAGACACTAAGCCTGCCCTGCCTCTCCCACCCGCAGCATGCCATCTGATGGAACTGTGGCAATGTTCATCAGTATAATTCTATTCATTGTGCCCTCTGAGTTCCCAGGGCTGACCCAGGACCCAGGTAAGCACCTGGCTTGGAGCTGGGAAGGTTTTTCAGGTAGACTTTGCCTTCAGGCATGTGAAGGGCATTTTACCACACTTGGCAGTAATCCACAAAGGTCAGAGAGGTTAGGGGACTGTCTAAGGGTACAGGAATTCAGGGACATGGTGCATTGAAATGCTACAGAACTACATTGATGAAGCTCTGATAGGGACGCACTCAAGGAGGTTCCAGCAGAGGGGAGGAGGGAGGCCTATGGCTCTTATTGACCTGATCTTCTCTGCTTGGGGAGTAGAACACCCAGGGAAGCTGAAGGCCCCACCTGCCCTCCTCACCTGGAAGATCGTGAACAAGAAGATGCCCTGGAACATTGTGTTGTTGCTAGGTGGTGGCTTTGCCCTGGCCAAAGGTAGTGAGGTGAGACTCCCAAGCCCTCACCAGCCTGTTGGAGGGGAACTCTGTGGCAGGAGAGAGAGGTCCTGTTTCTGTCCCACAGAAGAGAAACAGGATCCTGACTTGGGGAGAGGCCCCAAGTGGACAGAATCTCTGCAAAAGCTGCAGGGAAGTAGATGACAACCCCAGCCCAGAAGGAAAAACAAAAACGAGCCCTCAGGACCTGTACCTAGTGGAGTTCTAAAAGCCAAAGGGAGGACAGGTTTCTCTGGTGGGTGGGATTCAGGCCAGAGAGAATGCATTGGATGCTGCACCTACGTAGGTAGCGTTGGGTTGACACCGTCCTCACGCAGCCACCAGGGGGCGCCATGACCACACCTTACCAGGCTCTTGGGACCAGGCCATCTTGCTTCAAAGACTTCAACCAAAAGAGAAACAAATTCTTGAAACTGCAGCCCTGGGCCTCCGTGTTCTGGCTGACTCATGGTGCATACAAGAGGCAGCTGGCCCAGGTCAGGGACTGGTGCAAGGTCTGTGCCTGTTGACTGCCAGACACCATGCTCAGGGCCAGCAACATGGAATGAGGTAAAGCTTTAGCTCCCGCACACCAGTGCAACACTAGCAGTGGGGCTTGCAGGTGCAGGGCAGATGTGAGCAGGGCAAGACCTCGGTGCTGCCAGGTGCTCACCCGACCACTGGCCTCTTCCCTTCTAAGGGGCTTCCCTCCACACTGCCCTCATGCCAAGAGCAGTCCCCTTAGTCCCAACCCATTGGACAGGGAGAGGACTATGTTTGTCCAGAGACCTTCTGAGAGGGGTCAGGAAGGCAGGGGTAAAGCGAGCAAAGGCTTTTATTTCCACAAAGCTCCAGACCCCCAAGAAAGTCCTTGGGTCCCTCTCCTAGCTTCTCACCTGACCCTTCACCCCTCCATAGCTGCCCCAAGAGCAACAGAAGGGCCCATGACTCTAGCTGGACCATGTATCCCTTCAGAGCTGTTCTGCTTCTGAAGACTAACATGTATGGGCAGCATAGGCCTTGGAGTCCAGGCCAACCTGCCTCACACACACTGCTATCCTCTGCCCACAGAAATCTGGCCTATCCAAGTGGGTGGGGGACAGACTGTCCCCACTGCAGCACGTGCCATCTCCTGCCACTGCCTTCATTGTCTGTCTCCTGACTGCTACCTTCACCGAGTGCATTAGCAACGTGGCCACCACCACACTCTTCCTGCCCATCTTGGCCTCCATGGTGAGCTGGCCCTGTAGACACACCTCCTCCAGTCTTCCTGCCTTGTCCCCCACCCCAGTCCCCCAGGGACCTGCCATTGTACCTCCTCCCTCTCCTGGAGAGGACTCTGAGCTTGCACTCTTCTCCCGGTCTTATGCTCCTCCAGGGCCTCAAGGCCCTCTAGCCCCTGACTCACCCCATCTCTGGTGACATCATCCCCTGGGTATCCCAATAGGGCTCAATAGTGGCCTCACCCACCTCCCCACCCCAGTCCCTGTTCTGGTCATTCCAGAGGTGATGAGGGAAAATTGCTCCCTGGAGCGTCCCCAGCCCCTTCCTCCCCAAGTGCATTCCCACAGCCTTTGATGACACCTCCTGAGCCCCTTTGAGATCCGTTTTATGGGCCCCTCCCCTCACTACACCCCACAGGGCAGGGCTGCACACTCATCCCCTCCAGAGAGGTCAAGGGGCCCTTCCCAGGTCACAAAGTGCTTTCTGGCAGAAATGGGGGTTCATGACCAGAGTGTGTGTTGGGGGATGAAGCTGTTAACCAGAAAAGGGAGAACTGGGGCCAGGTCTCACTCCCCAGGATGCAGACCAAGGTCAGCTCTACCCCACTGTTCCACCTGCAGGCTCAGGCCATCTGCATCCACCCACTCTATGTCATGCTCCCCTGCACCTTGGCTTCCTCCCTGGCCTTCATGCTGCCTGTGGCCACCCCGCCTAACGCCATCATCTTCTCCTTTGGGGATCTCAAAGTGACGGATATGGTGAGTGGCGGGGAGCACAAGCACCTCTCCTCCTTCCTGCCTGTCTTCTATCTCTGTGGACCACAAAGTAGCTAAAAGCCTCTGAAATGCTCAGAGGTCAGAGGAAAGCCCTGGCTGGCTGAGGGTACAAAGGGGAGGCTGAGTTGTGATCCCTCAGCTGGAAGACTGTCAAGCCCTGCAGCGCCAGCCACAAAAGAGGAATAAGACATGAAGGTCCATGGCCAGGCAGCATGCTCAGAAAGATGAATGTGGAAAGCACAGTCCCAGGGCCCAGAAGCTCATGAATGCCCCTCCCCATTTTCCCTGTTAGGACTGGGAATAAAGCACAGGGCAAGGGCATTGCCTTGCACTGCAGATTAGGCCAAAGGCCAGACTTTCCGGGCAGAGGTTTGCTTGTGGGAGAGCTCCTGAGCCCTGCAGGCTGGGCACTGGAGCTGCTCAGTACCCCCTCACCCAAACTGACTCTCCCCACCTCAGGCCCGTGCTGGATTCCTGCTCAACATCATCGGGGTGCTGGTCATCATGCTGGCCATCAACAGCTGGGGCGTCTCTATCTTCAACCTGCACACCTTTCCCTCATGGGCCCAGTCAAACATCACCCAGTGCCTCCCCAGCCAGCCCAGCTTCACCACACCTAGCCCCTAGATTGGGTGCAACCTGGCTAAGTCCACCTCCATCCCACTCCTCTGAGCCAAGAGGAGACACCCCAAGCTCCAAGCCCAGGGCCAAGAGCTGCCAGAAAAGTCTGTGTGTTCACCACCTCATGCGTATCCATGAGAAGGTGTGCACCCTCTCCAGAGTGTCAGAGGAAAATGATTGTGTCTGAATTTGTATGTATACACGTGTGTGAATGAGGGCTTCCAGTGGGGCTTTGTATGCAGGCTTGACAGGGCACACGTGTGCATCTGCAAAAAACACACATGTCCTTCCTTGTCTTCCTGGCTTGGGAGCCAGACCCCTTTGCACATATTTATTGAAACTTTGGGTTAGAGTGGCCTGGAAGCAAGGCCTGCTATGGGCACAGCCTTTGGGACTCCAGCCCAGTCTCCCCAGGTTTGGGAAGGGTTCAGATGTTAGCCACATTAAAGCCTTTTCCAGTTGAGTCTGAGATGGTTTTTCACGGCAATGTCACGTGGTTCTGGCCTAGGCTGGAGAGTACAGGAAGGGACCTGGCCTCTGTCCCATATGGTGGCTCCCTGGACACCCCTCCTACCCCCAGGAGAAAGTAATGGTAGGGCACCCCTGCCAGGGCCGATTGGAGTGGGCGCAGCCACCCAAGAAAGCAGCACTGACATCACCAGCTGGCTAATTGGGAGCTGCCAGTCTCTGCGTGTCTTTGGGAAAACCGGCCTCCCTGTTCCCAGAGCACTCCCTGGGCATTTACATAAAACCCTCTCTCCTTGCCAATTCCTCACCGACCCTTCCTCCAGCTGGAAAAACCAGTCCCACCAGACCAGAGGAGGCAGGCTGACCCATGCCAGGTGCCCAGAAAGGTGGACCCTCAACTCCAAATGCTAGCTACAGCAAGACGGATACAGGCTAGATTCAGAAACAGGCTCGACACTGCCGTGGCTTTCAGAGCCCAAACCAGACAACTTAGGATGATGCTGCCTTCTTACCTTTGCCCTTCCTCTGCCATCCCACCACCCACATCCTTATAGCCTCTAGGGCTTTCATCTGGGGGTGATGCTACCCATTATCCATTCCGGGGGAGCTCAGCATCCCTTCCTGGCAGGAGGAAGTCCATCTTTGTGTCTATCCTAAGTCTCTGTTATTGTAGACAAAAAGAAAAAGAAAAAACTAAAAAGGATTGAATTTAGGTTTCCCCCAGGGCTGGGCTTTCATTTTCTCAGAGCTGGAGGTTCATGGGAAGTGCAGCTGGGAGGGGGCTACTGCACAGAGGAGAACACTGCTGTCCCCAGGGGACAGGGGATCCTGACAGGGCATGCCAGACACCCAGGAGAAGGAGGAGTGTCAGGCAAGTGGTTCCGCCCCCACCCTGGCCCCCAGGCTGGCATTCCTCATGCATGAAACATATGGTAAATCAGAGCTCCCATCCAGACCCACACTAGGACCCCAAGGCCCCAGGCAACTGTCCCCCTAGCATGGCAGGGCTCCCCAGTGGCTTACCCATAATGCAGTGGGTCCCTAAGCAATAGATTCCCCCATCCCTGCAAGGTGTTTTGCTACTCTGCCACTGCTTTCTCCTGGACCCTGAGTGGGTACCCACAGTCCAGCTTTGGCTAGGGAGAGGTTCTCTTGGGGTACACATGCCCCACCCACCATTCTCAACTCTATAGCAATCCAAGGTATGAAGCTTGTCCTGACTTCTTGGAGGAAACTGTATGAAGGCCATCCTGAGGGTCTGGTGGCCAGCTGGGTGGCAGATACCCTCGCAGGATTCAGGAATCAAGCCTCCCCCCAAATGCTCAACAACCGCCCTCCCTCCTCAGCAGGCAGGAGTGTGGCCGGGTGGCAGGCGGCACCTGTCAGCCTAATCACCATCATTAGCTGGGCAATAAAGCAGCATGGACTGGGCCAGGCTTTGAGGGAAGGGCCAATGGGCCCAGGTTAGGCTTGTACAGGCAGCCCAGCAGCTCAGGCCCTGTGTGCACACACTTTAGCTACCGCAGGTAGATAAGGATTAGGGTCTTCAATTTTTCTCTTGAATATTTACTCCTCATCATCCATGATTTCCTGGAAGTAGTAAGGGGCTTTGAGTGTCCCCTACCTGCTAAACTTGTCAGCACTAGAACTCAAGCACTTCTGAGGTAATGAGTTCCCAGGCCCTTGGGGACAGAGGCAGAAGAAAATGAGTCTGGAAGCAACTTAAGGACAACAGTTGGTGGAGCTAAGCCCCAGAATGTTGTACAAATGAATGAATGCACTGGATATGTAGAGAAGCTTCTTGTCCCAGCGGGAAGCTGGGCAGGCTGCCCTCCAAGACCCTTTCCAGACTGCTGTGTGTAGAGGGCTATGTGCCTCGAAACAGCATCTTGGCTTCCATGGGCCACAGTCCTGGAGGGTCAGCACGCAGGCCCAGTTTTCTGAGTCAACCCTTACTGTTTGCCCCTGCTCCTGTCCCTATAGGCCCTGGGGTGTCCCTGTTTCCAACTCCCTCCTGCTGGGCCAGGAGGCAGCTATGGTAACCCAAAGCACAAGGAAGTAGCTATCAAGTCCAAGCAGGAGATACCTGCAGGGTAGAAGATAAAAGCTTCTAAGGCGGTGGGAGCATTGCTGTCAGTGCCACTCCCTGGTTCCCCTTGACCTGTACCCCAGGTCACAGGGCAGCTCTAGGGGCTGCAGAACCGTAAGTGCTCAGTCTCCCCAAAGTCTCCAAGGGGAAGCTACTCCTTGGAAAAGGAAGGGTAGCATAGCCAAGAGGATAGAGCACAGGGTGGAACAGGACTGGGGCAGGAGGAGCCTCAGTGGGTTCCAGCTTGCAGGAAGTGCCCCGTGACCTCCATAGTCTGGCCCCTGTTAGTCACAATCATGAAAACCACTAAGGTTTCATCAGTCTTTTTTTTTGGTGTGTGTGGTAGTTCTGAGCATGAAAACCCAAGAGTGCTCTACCACTGAACTATACTCCAAGCCCTTTTTATTTGTTATTTTGTGCCAATGTTTCACTGAGTGGCCCAGGCTGGTCTCGAACTTACGATTCTCCTGCCTCAATGTCCTGAGTAATTAGGGTTACAGGTGTGCCCCACCACACCTGTAGAACCAAGGGGGGACAGGGAGGCTGACAGCCTCAGAAGGGTGATCCCTCCATCCTTCGGGCCTGGGGTTCTGTGATACAGCCATCAAGGGAAGAAAGGGGATGGAGAAGGCTGACTGGAAAGATCCTGACAAGGACACAGAAGAGCTGCTATTAAGCTGGGGAGCCTCCTGGACTGTGCACACAGAACCGTATATTCCTAGGCACAAAAGACTCCATCAATACCTGGCCAGGCATGCACACCTGCGTGCACACAGTCACACACCTGACTCTCCTATGCGCCAAGTCACCAGCTTTTGCAGCCTTTCAGATGTTCAGGGACACACAGAAACCCATACAGACAAAGAGTCACAGCTGTTTGTACATCTGCAGTCACCCATGTACTCCTGCATACAGAGCCAGACTTGCATGTTCTCACAAATACTCAGACACTCACGCACACTTACACACAAATTCTGGTGCAGACACATCATCTGGTGCAGCACGTGGTCACTCCACAGCTTCCTGCGCACCATGGTGGTGTGAGCATGGGAGCGGCAATGTCAATACCTGCACACTCACACAGAGGTATACAGACACTATACTTTACCTAGACATTGACTTTGGTGAAAACACACACACACACACACACACACACACACCTGCTTCTTTCAACCTACACAACCTGCAACCTGTCTCCTACAGCAGAAGGAATTAAGACCAGAGCAGAGAACCCCCTATACACCTAGCAGGACTCTGAGTTCCTCCCCAGGCCCTCCCCTACCAAGCTTGGAAACTCCCTGAACTTCCCAGGGGGTCACCCAACCAGAACAGCACAGACCTCCTATCTCAATTCCCCACCACACACACCCTCTGACCTGGAGCTCCTCCATCGTCCACAGCCAAGGAGCTGCCTGCTGACCCCAGGAAGCCCACCCTGACTGACCCAGATCCCTCCAGCCCTCCTTTAATAAGGGGTCCTTGTGCCAGAGGCCCTTGGGCCTTGTTCCTTTGAAGATGTTCTTTTTTGGGGGAAAGGGCGTGCTGAGCCTAGAACCCAGAGCTGGAGAATGCTAAACACATGATTTACCTCTAAGCACTACCCCTAACCTCTCTGTAGATGTTCTTTGTGTGGGGGGAGGAGGATATTTTAACAGCCTCGGGTTGGCCTTGAACTCAACTACATAGCCCAAGCTGGCCTTCAATTCCGCACTCTTCTTACCTCAGCCTCCTGAGTACTGAGATTGTAGGTGTGTTCCCCCATACCGGGCTTCTGTAGATATTGTCTCCCATGCCTATAGAGTGAGACTTTGAGGACCTGGGAAGAGGCAGGCTCAATTCTGGAAACTTGTTCTGAGGAGATAAGTCCAGCCTCCAGGAGCACAAGTAGAGGTGGCTTGTCCCAAGATAGGATGTGTGAAAGGCCATCTTTCCCCCATCACACTGGGGCTCCAAAGAGTGGGATCAGGCTCTTTCTCTGGGACCCCCACAGTCTTGCCCTCCCTTGGCCTCAGCCTGTTTAAACACCAACGTACAGACTATTCAGGTGGGGACCAAACTCAGCTCCACCTGCCGGCCTGAAAAGAGTCTGGGAATGGAGGGAACAGACTTGCACAGAGAAGGCCTTCCCAGGGAAGCAAAGCCAACACTGAAGGAGCCCAAACTGAGGCCAGATGCAGGGATGGACTTTCTACTCATAGGAGTGAACTCTGAGGGGCTGATGTGACAAGAAGAGGATGGTCCTGTCCAGAGACAGAAGGGGAAAGACCTCACAAATCCTCTTCTAGTTTCGACTGTATGGAATTCCCATGGCTCTAACTCCCAGACTACCAGCAATGAGGAAGTTGTGCTTCCCAAAGGAAAGAGGGAGCCAAAGCCCACACCCATTCCTGGGGCAAAGGTAGAGCCTGTTTCGGAAGAAGAATTGCATCTCTCTCAGTAGAAGCAGAGCCACGCTGCGGAGAGACGACAGCTACAGTCTCTTGGCCAGACCTTGCCAAGGTCTTGGACCCGAGTTCGTTTGTATTTCCCTGATTTTTAACTAAATTTAAGATATTTTTCTTCTTCCTCTTCTTCTTTTCTTTTTTCTTTCTTTCTTTTTTTTTTTTTTTTTTTTTTCCGGAACGGGGGAGTTCCTCAGGACTTCGCGCTTGCCAGGCAAGTGCTTATTCTACTGAGCTATCTCCCCTACACCTCTTCCTCTTCTTCCTCTCTTTCTTGTTCTCCTTATTCTCCTTCCATCCTTCCTTCCTTCCTTTCTTCTTCTTCTTCTTCTTCTTCTTCTTCTTCTTCTTCTTCTTCTTCTTCTTCTTCTTCTTCTTCTTCTTCTTCTTCTT